TAACCCTAACCCTAACCCTAACCCTAACCCTAACCCTAACCCTAACCCTAACCCTAACCCTAACCCTAACCCTAACCCTAACCCTAACCTACTTTGGGGTGGGACCTACCTTGTACCTAGGTTCAAGTGTGGGTTCAACCTAGGGCGGCAAGAGCCAATGGGACCACTTTGAACGGCTCTACAGCTGTGACCAGACATGTTGACGCACTGAGACTCTGTATACATCCTCTCCTAGCATGTCTGAACACATTTCATTACCAGTCCAACACCATTGGAGGTGATCAGAAACTTTTTTTTCTTCCCCGGGTGATCAGCCAGACACATCTTTGACGGGCCGTAGCACGGTCCCTGGGTTACGTGGTAACGTCAGACTTTGTGTACAGCTTCCTTTGGGGTATGCCTACATATCTCATTAGTACAGATTTGCCGTTAAACTCAGCATCGCCGGGAGTACCTGTGTAACCCTAACCCTAACCCTAACCCTAATCTGAAACTAAAGCTAATTCCAAAAATGTTTTGCTTTTTTGATCCATATTTTAATCTCGATTTTCTCGGTCCTCGTCTTTTTGTGCTTAACCCTAGCGGTCCGCCAAGTTGGCTGTGTTTCGGCGCAACCGAAGCTTGACGCTCAATGGTTGTGTTGCGAACGCCCGGGTTAGCCCTGAGTACCGCTATACGAGCTCTTCCCTTGACTGCGCATTGTGTGGCAGCTGAGCTAGCATGGTGATTTGCTCGCGCTAGCACTGCAAGCCACAGCGGAAGTGCGGCAAGCCTTGATCTTTGCGACACGAGTTTTGGCTACTGTATGACTTTCTTCGGGCGATTTTGGCCAAGATGGCTGAGCGAATGGGGTGTTGATCTCCACATTAAAAACCTGGTCCGAGCAACGACTTGACTTTTCCTCTCGTCCATCTTCTCCATCCTCGTCTCCGCATCCCTCGCTCGAGCATTCCGAACTTTCGTTACTTCGGCTCCACCTGGCACGCAATCAGCGCAGCCGAGTCTGCTGCGTTGCGCTTGCGCTTGCGCTTGAAGACGCGCCATCACAACTTCGGCGTCGGCAGAACATCTTGATCCACGGCTGGTCGACTATTTCACTTCCCCGATCCTTCGTCGCCCTTGTCTCTCGCTCGCTTCGAAGGCGCTCAGAGAAAGCCGAAATCCAACACTACCGCCACCGCCATCTGCTACAGTCAGCACTGCGCAGCCGCGCCGACATACTCACGTAGCTGAACGCGGGCATGCACTTGGAACAGACGCAGCAGAGCCACCGACCTCTGCCGGCTCGCAACTCCCTTTGAGCGCCTCGCCGGGTCTTTCTCGTCCATCGAGTTCCGACGGCTGTCGAGCACACTGCAGCCAGCCATGTTGCAAAGTCCGTTCACCTGGGCCGCGAACAAGGTGGTGCAGCTCCTCTTTCCCGTCGACACCAGCCCGCGCCCGCATTCGACGTGGGACGAGCTGGAACCGGCACAGCCGCTCGACGATCATGGTTGGCGCAATCGAGACGAAGCAAGGCGATACCAGCGTGACACGCGTCTGCCTCACGATGGGTTCAAACCGAGATACTTGCCTCTCCTGCATCGACCGCGACACAACCTCGAAGCGCAGCAACTGTACAATCACATCCGCACCACGGCGTGGTATCTTGACTCACTTCCGATCTTGGGATCCGGCTTGCCTTTCAACATTGGCATCGAATCGATCATCGGTCTCGTGCCTGGCGTTGGCGACTCTATCGGTCTCATCCTGGGCCTCTACCAAATTCTAATGTGCTCGCTGTTCGGCCTACCGGTGTCGGTGCTGCTGTGGATGCTCTTCAACATCGTCATCGACTGTCTGTTGGGAATTGTGCCCGTCATCGGCGACGCTCTCGACGTTCTCTTCAAGGCCAACATGCGGAATCTTCGACTGTTGGAAGACCACTTGCACCAGTCCGGAGGCAAGTGCGGAGCGGGCGTCTTCTACATCGAGTTTCCACCAAGCGACAAGTTCCTGCCGAAGAAAGAAGATTTGCAACCAGCCCCGCCTTCGCATGCCCCTGTCGTGTATCCTCGGCCTGGCGTCCCAGGGGTCGCACCGATGAAGCACGCAAGCACATATTATCTCAGCCTTCCGTCGTCGCTGGCAGCAGATCAAGCCCCCGATGGACTTGCATTTTCTGACGACGATGCAGCAGATCGCTCTCGGACCGCTCAGGAGTTGCCAGCAAAGGCAGACGCGCTCAGACTGGCCAGTGCGGAGGCGTACACAATCCCAGACCAGCCAAGCAAGGCCGTCCCATCTCTGCCTCAAGCGCATCCGAACGGGAACGTCATTCACGGCTCCTCTGATCACAAGTCGAATCCAGCCAACGGTACGTCGACAGCCACTCCTGCTCAGCACAGCCTCATACCTGATCGCAGGGAGACCTCTGCCGCAATGCAGGCGTCCGATAAGTTGAAAGGCTCCAGTGCGCCTCCGAAGCCAACGCACAACAGCGCCGATGTAGCTTCGGCGGCAGACGACGGACGACCGCGCGTCTCTTGGCACGAAACGACGAGAAACAGCTTCTCGACCATGACGAGAGCCGACAGCAAGCGTCTGCGTCCCGACCTGACGCCCGAGGCCGATGACGACTTGGACGAAGACTTCGAGGATCAGCATCTGCTGAAAGGAACGTCGTCGGAGAGGGAACGTGAGGTGGAGAGTCCCCGGCAACTTTGGCGAAAGCGTCGCGGGCTGTACCTGCTGGTGTACTCGGCCATCTTCTGCGTGGCCTACGTCACCTCACTGGACTCCAACACGGGCTACCTCTACCTCAACTTTGCCTGCAGCGAGTACGGCGCGCTCGCCTCCTTCAGCACGGTGGCAATTGTGCAGCAAATGGTGTTTGCCGTCGCCAAGCCGCCCATCGCCAAACTGTCCGACGTGGTCGGGCGTCCGCAGGCGTATGTGTTGTCGCTGGTCTTCTACGTGTGCGGCTACATCATTGTTGCGACGACGGGGTCGCTGCGATCACTCATCGGTGGCATCTGCTTGCAGTCGGCAGGCACAACAGGCATTCAAGTGCTCCAGTCGATCATCATTGCCGACACGACGACAGCCAAATGGCGCGGACTGGTGATCGGCATCGTCAATCTGCCATTTCTGATCAACTTTGCGGTGGCCGGTCCGATGGTGGACCTGGTCATGCGTCACGGAGGCTGGCGATTCGGGTTCGCCATCTGGACTGTTGTGGTGCCTCTAGCAGCCACGCCTCTGCTTCTGACGCTGCTGGTGGGTCAACGTCGAGCTCGACGTGCGGGACTGGCCACGAGAAGCACGCTAACGGACAAGCCATGGAGGCAGGCAGTGCGACAGCTGGCAACCGAGCTCGACTTGCTCGGATTGCTGCTGTTCACAGGCGGCTGGCTGCTGATCCTGCTGCCTCTGACTCTGGCTGGCCACGGCGAGCGACATGCGACCGTGCCCACAACCGCTTTCATCCTTGGCGGCGTGGGCCTGCTAGCCGTCTTTGGATGGTGGGAGACGCGAGCCTCAGTGCCGATTCTGCCGTATCAATTCCTGACCAATACGGCGGTGGTGTGCACGTGCGTGGTGGGCGTGCTGGACTTTGCGTCGTTCTACATCTCATGGACCTTTCTCTCGAGCTTTGTGCAGATCCTCAAGGGTTGGGATCAAACCAAGACGGGCTATTTCGCCACGACACAGAACGTGACGTCGACCATCACAGGCATCATCGTCGGATCGTTGATGGCCATGACGCGAAGGTACAAGGCGCTGCTGATGATTGGACTGGTGATGCGACTGCTCGGAGCAACATTGATGATCCGCTATCGGACGGCGGACGACCCGACCTATATGCTGGTGCTTTGCCAGCTTCTTCAGGGAGTCGGCGGTGGCTCGATTGCGATTACGATGCAGGTGGCAGTGCAGGTGACGGTACGACACGCAGACGTTGCCATTGTGACGGCACTGGAGCTGCTGACGACCGAGATCGGAGCAGCGATTGGGTCTGCGACGGCTGGCTGGATGTTTCAAACCTACCTCCCGACCAAATTGGCAGCCAACCTGCCCAACATGGACGCCGACGAGCTCAAGCTGGTGTACGGCAGCCTTCAGAAAGCGCTGAGCTACCCGCTGGGATCGTACGAGCGTGATGCGATCATCGAGTCGTGGGTCGAGGTGATGCGCATGCTCAGCATCGTGGCGACCATCACGCTGGTGCCTGCGGTTCTGTTCGGGCTGGCCATTCCCGACACGATGCTGCCGGATGTGCACGGTGCTCCGATCCGCAGTCACCATCACCACAATCACGGTCATCACAACTCACGTCGAGGAGAACGGCGAAGCTCGAGGCGACGCCCGTCGTTCCTCTCCTCTGTTCAACCCTCGTCGCCACTCGAAATCCGAGCGGGCCACTCGGACATCACACTGGGGATGGGGCTAGGTGTTGCCAACGACGACAATGCCCACGTCAGCTTCCTGGCCGCGACTTCCGCGGCGGGCTCCAAGCGCAGTCGTTCAGTGTCGAGGAACCGCGCGAGTGAACGGGATGACCTAGACGAGGCCAGTCTGGGACGCAACAAGCGTCGAGCCCGCCAATCTGTGGTGCCCTGATGGTGCTGCTTTCTACTCTAGCAATGGCTGCGTGCCACCATTTTTCTACGTTTCTCGGTCTATATCATCGCATCTGCAAGCAAGTCATCTGATCTTTGTCATTGTATCCATGTTGTCGTGTGTTTAGTTGTGTGACTTTATTCGCTGTTGTGACGAGAGAGGCACTTGAGATGATGGCGCTGTCGTCTGATACGGTCGTCGCGGACCGATCTCGGCCTGCCGAGCGCCGAGATGTCTGGTCGGCACAGGCCAGAGTGTGGGTCAGGCACGACTTTTGTATTCGACTCCACGTCGAGGCTGCAGATTACAATTCAAAGTGACTTGTTCTTGGACGGGTTTGAATAACGAAAGGGTCGTACTTTGTATGTGCATTTGAATTGCGCCCCTTCTGAGAGAGAGCGGCGGCGGCTTTCTTCTCAACTCAAAAAAGAGAGCTGCGGGGTTGGCTGGGTCTTGATTGGCTTGGTGTCGGTCAGTGCTGCGTGCACAGTCCAAACGAGCAGCAGCAGCTGCTGCTGCCAAGAAGGTTGATTAGTTGCCTTTGCCTCCGTTGGCCCGTCCAACACCTGCTCGTTCAAGCACACAAAGAGAGAGAGTAACACACTCGCTGCCCTTCCGTCTTCACCGCAACCTCAAGCTTCCATCTCGACTCTCCTTCATCGGATTGCTTGAGTCAGAAGTCATCTCCTCGACTAGCCGTACATCAAGGGCTTCACTTCGCCTCATCATCTCGACTGCCGTCTTCGCAACAGCAACGTCGATTCTCTAAACCACGTTTGGGTTCGCCCAGGTCTACCGTCTTTGGTCTCCTTCGTCGCTGCCGCCGTCCTTTGCCCCATCGCTTCTTCGCCCATCATGGTCAACGCCGCCGACCTCATGAGGCAACACCAGTCTCAACAGGCCCAAGCCAATGCTGTCGCCGATCAGCCTCCCATGGACGACCCTTTCCCGTCCCTCAGCCAGGATCCCTTCCCAGCTGAGCCCGTCGCTGCTCCTTCCGGATCTAGCTCCGCCGCCGCCATTTTGAGCGGCAACGGCAACGGTGCCTCCCACGAAGACGCTGCCTCGTCCGCTACCAACGGCCGCGCTCAGGGCCCTGGTCGTTCCAAGCAGCCAGACTTCTCCTCCGAATCCGCTTTCCCTTCGCTTGGCGCTGGCCCCGGCCCTGCCAAGGGTGCCTGGGGTAGCAAGGGCTCCTCTTGGACCGGCTCTGCACCCGTCATTCAACGCTCCGTTGCTCAGCAGACCTTCTCGCTTTCGCTTTCGCACGACTCCGTAGCCAAGCTTTCGACCGTCATGTCCAAGGTGCAGAGCAAGTACCGTGGCGTCAAGATCGAGGCTTCCACCACCCGCAAGACCGGTACCACCACCTTCGTCCTCAAGGCTGCCGATGATGCTGCCATCAAGAGCGCCAAGCGTGAAATCACCGTTCTGCTCGCCAAGCACGTCTCGACCCAGATCATGATCCCGGCTTCCCTCCGTGCCTTTGTCATCGGTGCTAAGGGTAAGAACCTCAAGGCCATTACCGAGCAGACCAGCGTCAAGGTCAACATCCCTCCTCGCGACCCTGCCGCCGACCTTGCTGGCGATGATCAGCGCAACAACAACGTCGACTACGAGAATGACGAGCAGATTGCCGTCACGCTCGAAGGTGACGAGATCAACGTCAAGCAGGCTCAGGCCATGATCCAGGCCATCGTTGCCGAAAAGACTTCCAAGATCACTCAGCGACTCACCCACATCGACCACATCTTCTACCCGTTCATCGCCGGGCCCAAGGGCACCAACGCTGCTCAGCTCGAAAAACAAGCCGGCGAGGGCGAGATCTCGGTCCGTGTGCCTCCCCGTGCCGCCTTCCTCCACAGCAAGGACGGTGACGACGACTCGGCTGAACCCAAGCGCGAGCGGGATCTCGCCATCATCGTCTCGGGCGATCGCGAAAAGGTAAACAAGACTGTGTCCTCCATCGAGGCGCAGGTCGAGGAAATGAAAAACTCGTTCCGTACTCTCGCCATCAGCATCCCCAAGCGTCAACACCGCTTCCTCGTCGGCGATGCTGCCAACGACATTCTCGCCTCCACCTCTTGCAGCGTCGAGCTGGCTGCCATCGACGACCCTTCGGATAGCGTCACCATCCGTGGCCCTCAGTCAAAGCTTCCTCTGGCCCTCACAGCCGCTATGGAGAAGGCCAACGCGGTTCGCGTCGAGGTTGTCGATGCCGTCGCCGCACACAGGTCGCTCGCCAAGGACCCCGTTGGTCACGCCAAGCACGTCCTTCGATGGCTCAGCGTTGGCGGCAAGATCCCTCGCAGCTCCACCGCCCAAATCTACCTCCCCCGACCCGCCATCGTCGAGTCGACTGGCAACGTCCAGATCGAGATCGTGGGCTCCGACGCTGCCGAGGTGTCGAAGCTGAGGGAGACCATTCAGGAGCTCGTCAAGTCTGTTCCTCCCAGCTTTATCGAGGAGATCGAGGTGGACCCCCTCCTCCATCGCTTCATCATCGGCAAGAAGGGCCAAGGCTTGAAGCCGTACGAGGCCCGTGGTGTCGATGTCCTCTTCCCGCCGGCGTCGTCCAGCGCTGACGGTGACTCTCGTTCCGATGTCCTCCTCGTCCTGGGCGGAGCCTCGGTGGTTGCAGGTCTGCCATCGGACCGCAAAGCTCGTGACGCCAAGGCCAAGGAGATCCTCGACACCATCAAGGAAGACATCCAGAAGGCTCAGGTGGCCGCTGCCGACATTCGAACAGAGACCTTGACCGTGCCTGCCAAGCTGCACCGTGCCATTCTTGGCCCCAACGGCACTACCCTCAACGCCGTCATTGGCGAAGACAGGCTCGTTGCCGTCAAGCTTGGTTCGAGCAAGGCCGCCACAGCAGACAAGTCTGGCTCCACCCTCTCAGAGGACTCGATCTTGGTTCGTGGTCCCAGCTCGGAAGTCGAGCGTGTCGTCAAGGAGCTCAACCGCATCGCCGCCGAGGCCGAGCAGGACAACATCATCAACGGCCACGTCGCCGAATTCTCGGTCGACCCCAACCACGTCCCTCATCTCGTCGGTCGCGGCGGCTCGGCCATCACCAAGCTGCGAGAGGAGCTCGGCGTGCGCATCGACTTTGGCGAGCCTTCCAGCGCTGAGGGTGCCGACGCCGCCAAGAAGGGTCGTAAGACTGCTTCCTCGACCAAGGTCGTGCTCACCGGTCGCAAGGAGAACGTCGAGGAGGCCAAGAAGCGCCTTCAGACCCAGGTCGAGAGGCTGGCGGACGAGACAAGCGTTACGCTCAAGATTCCTCAGGAGATGCACGGAAGCTTCATCGGTCAGGGCGGCAAGTACGTCACTCGACTCCAGGATACTTACGCCGTGCGCATCAACTTCCCCAACGCCAACGCGCAAAGCGGTACCTCGACTCCGTCCGAGAATGTCGACGACAAGCAGGCGGGAGGCCGATCGACTCAGAAGCCTGACGAGGTCATCATCAAGGGAGGCAAGAAGGGTGTCGAGGGTGCCAAAGCCGAGTTGCTCGAGCTTCTCGAGTACGAGAAGGAGAACAACAACGTCATCAATCTGGCTGTGAGCACCAAGTCTGTCGCCCGTATCATGGGCAAGGGCGGTGCTACCATCAAGCAGATCCGAGACGAGAGCGAGGCTCAAGTCGATGTCGACCGGGAAGACAACGAGAAGGACGGCACCACCTCGATCAAGATCAGGGGCACCAAGAAGGCGATCGCTGCCGCCAAAAAGGCCATCGAGGCCATCTCGTCCGAGGTCGACGCCGAGGAGGTCTATACGCTCACCATCGCTCCCGAGCATCACGGCATCCTCATCGGCCCTCAGGGATCCAACATCCGTGATCTCATCATCAAGGCCGGTGGTCCCGAGGACACCAAGGCTTCGTCGCAGTATGTGCAGTTCCCACGCCGAAACGAGAAGGACTCATCGACGGTCACCGTCCGTGGTCCTGCCTCGCTGGCCAAGGCGATTCGCGACGAGCTCCAGAGTGCCGCTCAGGTGCTTGCTTCTCGCGTCGTCTACGGTGTCATCGTGGCTCCACAGGCACAGAGGATGCTGATTGGCCGAGGCGGTTCGCGTCAGTCCGAGTTGCAGACTCAGTACTCTGTCCGACTCGTCTTCCCTGGCTGGAAGGAGTACGCTTCCACTGGCGAGCCGCTCAACAAGGCTGAGCTCACTGGCGGTGACGACGCGACCATCGTGAAGATCGTTGGTGCCGAAGATAGGTGCCAGGCGCTGGCGGAGGAGATCAAGTCGAGCTTCGCCTCGGTTTCGAAGTCGATCGATGTGCCTCGTGGAGTTCACGCTCGTATCGCGACGCCGCAATTCTTCCGCCAACTCCGATCGGACTTTGGCGTCTCGGTCGACACGCCGCGGGACTCCGCCTCGGCCTCGAAGTCGGCTGCTCCTGCCAAGAATGGTGCCAGCAAGCCTGTTGGCGCTCGCATCGACGACGATGACGACGCTGCGGAGGAGAACGAGTTTGAGCTCGAGGAGCTCTCCGCTGCTTCGTCGGGCAGCGACACCGTCTCGTGGAGCCTCACGGGTAAGGACGAGGGCTCGCTGCAAAAGGCCGAGAAGCGCATCCAGACGGCCATCAAGGAGGCGGGCGATGCGTCGCACCAGGGCAAGCTGTGGGTCTCGCCCTCCGCCGTCCCCCGCATCATCGGTCGCGGCGGAAGCGGCCTGATGAACATTCAAAAGGAGTCTGGCGCCGCTGTCGAGATCCCGCGTGACGCTGGCGGACTGTGCATCATCCGCGGCTCCAAGGACGCCGTGCTGCACGCCAAGGAGCTCATCGAGGGCGTCGCCGGTCGCGCTTAGAGGTCGTACAGGTCTCGATTCAACTTTCACATCAATGTAGATTCAACACATTCATCCCGTTCTCATCGCAATCGTTTCAGACTTTGGCAGCGCTTGCGCTAGGACTGAATGGTGCTGGCTCGATGAGGCATGCATGAGATTTGATTCGAGGCTACCTGACGGGGCCGCGGACGCGTCTGGGCTTGTGCACAAAAGCATCAGGCTCGATGTTGAGTTCGTAGAGCATCTTCGGGCTCGGTCTGTACCCCGACTCGGACATGTCGGCGAGCACGCTTTCCCATCGATCGTCCTTCTCGCGGAAGCACTTGCGCACCAGCGCCTCGTAGCTCTTTCTGCTCGGCGGGATGTCCTTCTCCTTCGCCTCTTCGATGAACCCAAACGCAGCTTCGTAGTTGTTCTGCGTCAAGCAGAGCACCATCATACGTTCGAACGTGACGACGTTGGGGCGCATGCGGCGCTCGTTGAGGTCGCGCAGCAGCTGAACGCCCGTCTCGTAGTCGGCGGCGTCGATGCAGCCGCTCAGCAGCGCGTGGATCGTGTCCAGATTGGGCGTCATGAGGAAACGCGAATCGGCGGTTGAGGCGCTGTTCGGGTGCGGGAACGGATGGTACTTGTCCATCGCTCGGTAGATCTCGAGTGCCTGGGTAAGGTCGCCCAGCCAGACAGCAGCGGTGAGCACCGCGTTGACGACCGACTTGTGCGTGCCGATGGCGGGGTCGGTAGCCGTCCGCTCGAGGGCCTCCCGCGCCAGCTTGAGATTGGCCGAGTCAGGGTAGATCGAGGTGCTGATTCTGGAAGTGGCTCGCTCGGTGATCTTGAAATTGCGTCGATGGTACTCGCGCATGGTGCGCATGGCGGCTTCGTAGTCGTGTGAGGTGCATTGCGCTTCAAACAGAGGTGCCAGATGCCATTCTTCCATCTTCTGGCCTCGATTCGAGGGTCTCCGAACGGGTATCGGTTCCTGGGATACGGTGGACGAATCGCCCTTCAGTTGGAAGCTGGGCTCGATGTGACGGAGACATTGATACGCCAGCCGGCTGCACCCTTCTTTGGCAGCAAGGGCGAGGATGAGATGCAATGTCCCGTCATCTGGGAACAGGAGTCCGTGGGTCACTGCCTTGGACCATGCGAGCTCCACGCCGGGGAGGTAGCCGCCTTCGGCGCAGGATCGAAGGATCAAGAGCCATATGCTGGGAGGAAAACGACGGGCAACCTGACCGCTTTGTGCGTCCGTTTGGAGCACTGATAGCTCTGTTCCTTTCGATGAGGGCTCGCTGTACACCAGACCGCCTCCTTCGGCCAGGTCCGCCAGCTCGAGGGCGGTTCTGAACTCTTCGCAGTGGAGGCAAGCCTTAATCAGACGAACGAGCGATTCGTGTGGCAGCGATAGATGCATCCTGTAGCACGTCGAGAAGAGCAAGAGCGCGTATTCGAGATTGTGCTCTTGGCAAGCGTGATCGACCATATGTGCAAACGTGACCGAGTTCCAATTGCGAACCTGTGGCGGTGGCAGGGTCAATCCGGCGGCATTGTCCGGATCCGTCTGGCGGCTGCTGTCAGAGTCGTTGAGCAAAATGCCGACGAGTTCCTGTGAGCGCTCTGACGCCGTCAAAGTCGAGCTTGAGAGAGTAAGAATGCTTTCCAGAGTCGCGATTGTCGCCTTTTCATCTCCGGAGATGATGGCCGCCTGCAGGACGTGGTTGAGCGAGTCGATGCATGGCTCGAATCCAAGCGAGAGCATATCGGCGTGCACAGCTTGTGTTTCTTCGAGCAGACCATGATGCGCAAGGGTGCGCATGACGGCGAGGAACACGATCTTCTCCTGAGGCTCAAAGACGATGTCTTCGGACGGACCGGCGATCTGTTGCTTCCTCTCCTTGATCAACTGGCAAAGCTTGGTCGCTTGCACGGCGTCGTCAGTGTCTGCGGCCTTTCCCAGAGCAGTATAGAGCTGCTTGAGCTCCGAATCAGTAGAAGCATATCGGAGGATGTAAGAGTCTTTTGATACGGGCTGAGAGGGTCCCGATGCCGGGCCGCCTTGTTCGAGAGGATTCCGTTTGAAGTGCTCGAAGAGGGGTGGTGCGTGCGGACGTCGACGATCTGCGGCTTTCGAGTCGGGGTAGATCGACTTGACGGGAGCTTTTTCAGCCTTGGCAGGTGACGCTCGTTCTGAGCTTAAGGAGCTGCTTTCAGCCACGGCTGACGCAGATCGTGTTGCAAGCCCCCTTCTGATGGGCGACTGCAAGAAGTCGTGGCAGAAGGAAATCGAGCGGGAGGTCGATCCTATTCCTGAGCTCTTGAGCGGCTCGAGAAGCGCGCACGCTTGACGCCCAGCACGCCACAGCATGTCGTCCTCGAATCGGAAGGATTCGCGATCCCTGAGTCCTAGGGAAGGCAAAGAGCAAGAAGAAGGTGCGGTCTTTGATGATGGTGCGTGGGCAAAATCCTTGAACCCTGAAATTTGGCCCACCGAGACCCGAGCCGCAATTGATTTGGGGAAGTATGGCAGTCTAACACCGACGCGATTTTTGTCGCCATCGGTCTCGTTCAACTGTATCAGCCTGGCAACCATACACAGTGTCATGACGACAATGCTTCTCGGGCGCTCCCTTCCGGATGGCTTGAGCACAATCAGTCTTGACCTGGTGAGGAAGCGCCGCTTGAGCCACCCCAGCCGACGGAATGACGAGGATTAACCGGACCTGATCTTCGAAGGGTAAACCAATTGCTTCAGTGACGTGATCGAAAGGGTGTCCGGCCGGTCAACCTCGAGTAACTTATGCCTGTCCCATGGTTAACACTCACGAGGACAGCTCCTGGTCTTCCAAAGCAGTAAGTCTCTGCGGTGATTCAGCCTGAGGTCCAACGTTGCGCACCTTTCTTTGCTGGTTCTATGAGGAATGTCGGTGAATAAATCGACCGGCGGTCTCCACGTTGTTGTCGTGCCCGTCGTGGTACCCACGCCGTCTTAAGCGAGCCTTCACGGTCTCGCATCCTCGACTCGGAAATCTCGGCACGGTCAACCACATGGACATCACAATGCGGAGGAGGCTGTTGCCAAGATGATGCTCGTACAGGTTGTGTTGCCCAACGTGAGTGTGGTGGACAGTTTTTGTATCGTACCATGCGGTCTCGCAGTGCCAGCCATCGACAAAGGACACGCGACCATAGCAGGTGAGGGCACGAGGTTGCTTCACATTGACGCTCGTCTTCAACAGAGAGGTGCGACTCCGCATTGGAGTTGAGATCCTTGCAATCAACCAATTCTGCCCGAAGTGACACCAGCCGAGGGAATGCCACGGCTCTTCTTTGCCTTGACTCCAAGTCCTCTCGACGGATAAAGTTTTCTTTGAGCGTTGTTCTTACGGAAGCGAGCGAATCGAAGAAAGTGATTCGTCTTGAACAATGCTTGTCTCGGCGTCCCAAGTGGAAGCTCGTTGGGGGCTTGCAGGCAGGTTGGCGGAGTCTGAATACGACGAGTGCGCGGCAGGGCCATGGCAGCGTGCGCAACTTGACGTCGACGTCATCGGCTCTTCAAGCGCGGGCGAATTATGCGTCTCACGGCGAACAAGCGTGTGCTGAGTGGTTCATTGGTGGGAATTGACCGTTGCGGTTGCCGTCGGCTTAGTCTGAAACGATGATGAGCAAGCAGGCGTCCCTGAAACCGAGGAGACGAGGTGGGATCCCCTTTTCAGCTGTAAACGATATGCCAATGACGACGAAGAAAGCCTCCGAGAGACTGAGGCGAAAAGGCCCCGACGCCTGCGTGAAAGATGGGGCCAACCGCAAGCTGGGTTGAGGATTGGTCGCGCTCCATCGTTGAACGTTGAGAGGAGGCAAGACGGCGCCGATGTGCAGATCCGGTCGGAGTTTCGGGAAATCTGGGACGAAGGTTTCTGGAAGCGTAATGAAATTCGGCAATGCTGGCAAACAACAGCGAACTTGTGGTACACAGCGACGCCTTGTTGGAAGATGAGGGAGCTCTACAGTATTGCCGCTCGCTTCCCTGGTCTTTGTTGCGCATGCATCGGTGCGCCGAATCCCAGCGGCTCCATAGTCTCGAAGTTGCGTGAGCACGGCGTCATTGAACGGCGAGCACACCCAGAGGAAACCGACCTCATTCGACAACGAGGCTTGTGCGATTGGTTCGGAATGGCACGCTGGCGTGGGAAGCGCTTTCTGCAGGGGCCGCATTCGATACAGGCAGCAGGATCGGCTGGACGAGGTTCCTGTTTACATGATCAGGATTCCGAACATAGTCCAGCATGAGACACGGCGCCCAACACCAGGAGCCCTGCCAGTCAAGATGAACGCGAGTCTTGGGCACAACGCCAGGCACGGAGTTAAGAGCATGAGTTGCCAAGCCCCCGGGTGCTTGTTGCCGGGTGTCCACAGACCAAGGACTTGCCGAGTCCACCACGCAGAGCAGACCGGATCGATGGAAGCAGCGGAGTTCTAAGTTTCCGCCAATACGCTTCCCGACCATCGAAGTGCCAAATGTCTTGCGTGTGTTACCAGGACGAGAGCAATACACGATGAACGCAGGAAGGAGCCTGAAGTCGGTTCGGCAACATCCTCGTGGCAGATCGATGCAGGCAAGCGAGCAAACACCAGGCGGGGCTTTTGTCTTGCAAGCAGCCGACAATGTGGGTTGAATATAGAATCCTCGCTTCCGTCACTGCCGAAAGCCAGGAACAATGCTGCGCCGTTGCTCGCAAGCGGTACAGTAGACCATTTGCCGGCGCTCGCGCCCGCCCGCTTGGATCGCCGTCGTTTGCGTCACAGATGCAGAACCTTGGCCGTCTGCACATCGGTTCGCTCGTCTTGCACGCTGCGTACGCTGCGAGCACGCCTCTGCACCCGACGTGCTCCCCTCAGGTTCCTCGAAGCGAGCTGTTCCTGTCTGGGATTTGAGCTCCTCGGCAAGCGCGGCAAGCCTGCCATCCGGGCAGGATGCCCTTTGACGACATTGTTCGTTCAAGGACTTACCCTAAGGGCGGCCACCGGCGCAGCCAAGTTGCTCGGCTCGGTAGAAGCTGTCGACACACGATCGTACCTCTCTTCTGAACGGGTGGGTTGATGGCTGCCCGGGCAACTATTGTAGTCTGTGCGCGGACCTCTGGGCCTGAGCCGATCTGCACGGATCGATGATGTACAGTACGAAAAGTAAAGCTTTCTCTACTGTAGTGGGTTGCTGTGCTCTGTTCGACTCTGTTACGCATGGCTAACGCTTCATGCGGCCAAGGTGCCGCACTTGGCTCCTGCGCTGCAAGCCATGGAGCGTCTTACGGTGATTTGTCTCTCTTTGGGACACTCTGTCTCACCGAACGCTTCCCTCGCTTCCCTCGGATGGATGCTTCGATGAGATGCTATTCAAAGACCGCTCTTCCGCTCTATGCGCTTTCCGGCGTTCTTGGTAAATGTATATAGGGGACGTCCCGGTGTCGGATCTACCTGCCAGCTCCATCTGATAGCTGCCTCAGCATCTCCAACTTGACGCCTCCTGGTCCCAACATCTATCAGCGATCCTGCACTTCCACCTAGCTTCGCTAGAAAGCCCCTCCTCCACCCTGATCCATCTAGCAGCGTCCGCATCGAAGAAACGATTCTGTGTCGCCATTGACGCCTACCCATCATGCGTTCGAGTGCCACTGCAGGACTCACCCCGCAGCAGCTGCTAGACCGTCGTCGTGCGCAGAACAAGCTGGCTCAACGACGTTTCCGAGAGAAAGCGCGAATGGAGCGATCGACGGGGGCATCCTCGTCAGCCTCCTACCTGGCAGCAGCTTCGTCGCTGCCAACATTCCCACCTCACCTCGACCTTAGTCACTCGGCCAGCCATACTCGTGAGACGTCTCCCAGAGTTCGATCGGCCTCCTCTGATTCTTCATGCACGTCCTTGTCTTCGTCGACCTCTACCACGTTCTCGTCGAGCGTCTCGAGTCCCACTTCATCCATCACAGAGCTCGAGACGCCGGGCGTGTCCAACCTCAAGGCATCGAGGCCGGAAGAGATGACCTTCGTCGGCGGGATGCATGCGCCCAACGTCTTCCTGTCCTCTCAGGTGGAACCGGATTCATACCCAGCTACTGCTCCGATGTTCGTGCAGCAGCCTGCGCCGCCAACATCTGCATGCTTCATGGCCCCCGGCTTCGCCATCCTCGGCGCACCCCTCTTACAGCCAGCGCCCCTCCTTCCTCCGCCCTCAGAGCCCATCACATATTCATCACTCGCTTCGACCTCTAGCTCGGAGCGCAGCGTTGGTCTCAAGATGATCGGACTGCACGCTGATCCTTTCCTCGTGAGCCAGCCTCTGCCGAGCCCGTCTCTGCTGCTCGGCACTGGCCTGCACTTTACCGCCCAGCTCGGGAACCTGCCAATGTTCCAAGATGCTCAGCCGCTACCGGTGACTTCGTTCGAGAGCCTCCTCGGTGCGACGCCTCGACTCGGCTCGAACGAGGGGACTAGCCCTGAAGCATCGTGCCACTCGCCTTCGTCCACCTCGTCGTCGTCTCCGGCCAAGCTAGACGCTGCCTCCCTCGCTTGCCTCAGCGACACCCCGTCATGGCACCTCGACCGCGCCATCTCGCGATTTGCCCAAAGCTCCGCGACCCCACCTCGCCCAGTTCAACCGCTCAGCATTGCCTCCCGCTCTTTTGCTCGTGTCATCCCATCCATCGCCTCGCACTTCAACCTCGACCCTGCCCCTCTCGCTTCGCTTCTCTCGCAACTCCAGCTGCACGGGACCGTCAACACTGGCAGCGAGACCAACAAAGGCCTGGTCTTCGATCCCGCCATCACGTGGGACTCGCTTCCACCCTCGATGCTTCCCTGCACGGAGCAGCTTCTGTACCCGCACCGCGCGTTCCTCGACGCCTGTCTGCCGTGGCCCAGCGTCCGTTCTCGCCTGCTCAAGCATGCCCTCACCAACCCCGTGGCCGAAGAAGAGTTCGCGCTCGACCTCCTTCTCTCCATCCTGTCCACCGACGAGGCGCTATCCTCGTTCACCGTGTATGGGGACGATGTGCTGGACCCGGAGGCGTGGGAGGTGTCCCAACGCATGGTGAGCAAGTGGTGGGGTCTCTTTGACGACTCCATCCTCCGTCGTAGCAACTGGTGGAGACGCCAGCGCGGCGAAACGGAGCTCGTGCTGCCAACCGCCACCGACGACACTGCCAATGAGTGCGAGCGCCAAGGCATGGGCACTGGCTCCCTCGACGAAGCCAATCGCATCGCCGCTCTTCTCTTCGCATAGACATTTTCATTTTCTGTATCATCACACTGTATCATACCTCATCTGACATTGAAGTCGTTTAATATTACATCTGCATTGCATTGATTTAGGGCAGGACGATGTACTTCTGCAGATGCTCCGGAATGGCCGTGTCGAGCTTCTTGCTCTCCAACCACTTCCTCGAGAAGAGGCGAGCTTGGTACCTGTATGCGCCATCACAGAGGATGGTGACGATCGTCTTGCCGGGACCCAGCTGCTGGGCCATTTTCTTCGCTGCGACAACGTTGAGTGCGGACGAAGCGCCGACGTAGATGCCCTCCTCGTGGAGCAGGTCGTACACCATGGCGATGCTCTCCTCGTCGGGAACGTGGACCGAGTTGTCGAGCTTCTCAATGTCGGGTTTGAGGTTCTCCGTCACTCGACCTTGACCAATGCCCTCGGTGATGGATCCTCCTTCGCGGTCCATGAGCTTGCCCTTGGTCTGAATGTACGAGTGGAGCACGGATCCAGGAGGGTCGGCCAGCCAGCACTGCACCTTGCCCCCACTTTTCTGCTTCAGGAAGCTCGTGATGCCCGCAAGGGTGCCTCCGGTACCAGTAGCGCAGATGAACCCGTCGAGCTTGCCGTCCGTCTGGTCCCAGATCTCGGGGCCGGTCGTCTCGATGTGCGCCCGTCGGTTGGCCGTGTTGTCAAACTGGTTCGTCCACACCGCATTGTCGAGGCGATCCGCATGCCGTTTCGCCTGGTGGTTGTAGTTCTCCGGGTTATCGAACGCGACTGCGGGGACCGGGTACACCTCCGCACCCAGCATCCTCAGCAGGTCGATCTTCTCCTGGGACTGCGTGTTGGGCATGTAGATGACGCACTTGTATCCCTTGCTGCGACAGACGTGGGCGAGACCGATGCCCGTGTTGCCTGCTGTGCCCTCGACGACAGTGCCTCCAGGCTGGATCAGGCCGCGCTCCTCGGCGTCTTGCACCACGAACAGCGCCGCGCGGTCCTTGACCGATCCACCGGGCTCCATGAATTCGGCCTTGCCGAGGATCTCACAGCCGGTCTCGGACGAGAGGCGGTTGAGACGGATGAGCGGCGTGTTGCCGATGGCGCCGACAAAGCCGTTGACGGGACGCATGTGGGCGGCTGCAACGGGCGAGAGGGTGGAGGATGAGGCCGAGGCGGTGGTGTGGATGGCGCGAGTGGAGGTGCGTGCGATGCCGACGAGGGTGCGCGAGAGTGAGGAGGCCATGGCTGTCGGCTCGATGATGGTGTGAAGCGAACGATGGAAAGAGGTGGTTGAGCAGCTCTAAGCGAGAAGGTGAGAAGATCGTGAAGTTCTTCTTGACGCTCGGACGGCGCGGCAAAAGCGGAAAAACGCGCATTCCTGGGCGCGGACGTAGCCAAATTGCGCCATTTCCAGGCCGATCTTCTTCTTGGCTGCAGACATTCTCATCATCTTCAGGCTTGAACGGTGTCACACTCGGAAGCAAACTTTCTACAAACGCATCTTCTTGGATTTTCATCGAGATCGAGCATCTAACGTATAGCTCTCAGCTCAGTCGTCGTGTGCGAATCTCGACCCCTGTGAACAGGAGTGGTTTACTGGTCGCGAACCCAGAGGTCGACAAACTCGTTGGCGGGCAGCTTGGCGAGCTTCTCGTGGTCCTCGAGCAGAGCGACGATCTCGGCCTGCTTGGCCTCGGGGAAGAAGCCCTTGAGGTGCTTCTGCAGCTTGCTCTTGATCAGGGGCTTGGCCTCCTCGCGGCGGCGGGCGTGGCCGACGGGGTAGTCGAGCGCAACCGAGTCGGTGGTACCATCGTTGAAGGTGATCTCGACGCTGTTGCCGATGGAGCGAAGCTCGGGGTCGAGGTACTCGGTGGTGTAGCGGGGCTCCTCCTCAACAGCCATCTTCTCACGCAGCTCGTCGATCTTGGGGTTGGCGGCAACCTCGTCCGAGTAGTCCTCGGGGTCGAGCTTGCCGTTGATGAGACCCATGGCGGTGATGTACTGGAGCGAGTGGTCACGGTCGGCGTAGTTGTTCAGCTTGCCCGTCTTGGAGATGATGCGCACGGCAGCCTCCTGGGTCTTGATGGTGACGCTCTTGATGTCATCCGAGGTCTTGCCGTTCTTCTGCATGCGGCCGTGGAGGGTGATGGCGCCCTCAATGGCAGTCTGGGAGTGGAACTCAGCAGGGACGAGCTTGAACAGCACGTTCTCCATGACGTACGAGCCGTAAGGGCGCTGGAACTTGAACTCCTTGCCCTTGAAGAGCACGTCGTAGAAGCCCCAGGTCTTGGCGGTGAGCACCGAGTTGTAGCCCTGCTCTCCCTTCTGGACGAGGAGGGCGAGGTTGACGGCACGCGAGCAGGCGTCACCAGCAGCCCACGACTTGCGCGAGCCGGCGTTGGGAGCGTGACGGTAGGTTCGGAGCGACTGGCCGTCGACGAAAGCCTGCGAGACAACGTCGACAGTCTGGTCACGGGTGTTGCCGAGCATCTTGGAGACGACGGCAGCCGAAGCGACCTTGACGAGCACGACGTGGTCGAGACCGACACGGTTGAACGAGTTCTCGAGGGCGAGGCAGCCCTGAATCTCGTGAGCCTGGATGGCACCGGTGAGGACGTCCTCAACGGTCAGAGGCTTCTTGCCGTTGGCAATGTTGGTGCGGCTGATCCAGTCGGCGACCGAGAGGATGGAACCAATGTTGTCCGAAGGGTGACCCCACTCAGCGGCGAGCCAAGTGTCGTTGAAGTCGAGCCATCGGATGAGAGCACCATTGTTGAAGGCGGCACGGATGGGGTCGAGCTCGTAGTTTGTACCAATGACACGGGCACCGTTGGGCACGACGGTGCCGGGAACAACGGGACCGCAGACATTGGCAGCGGCAGGGAAGCGGAGAGCCTCCATGGCGCATCCCAACGAGTCGAGGAGGACAAGACGAGCGGTGTCGTAGGCGACCTTGGAGTCGATCTTGTAGTTGTGCACATAGTCGGCAATGTCCTGGAGGACCTTGTCGGCGTCGGGACGGACGTTGTCCTCACCCTTACCGATACCGGCGTGACCACCCATGATGCGGGCCGAAGTGGAGAAGGCGGCGGTGCGGGGGAGCTGGGCGAAAGAGCGCTGAGCGACGGAGCGAGCGGCGAGAGCAACGGTAGCTCGGGGAAGGGCCGAGGTGGAGATCGACCGAGTAGAGGTGGATCGAAGCGATGCAGCCAGGGTGGATTGAGAGACGAGACGAGGCATCTGTTTTTGTTGATATGGACAGGAAGTGATCGAATCAGTACTTGTCCGCAAAGATGGATGTGAGCTCTTTGCAGCTTGACGTGATACTTACGATCCGTCTATGGGTAAAGGCACTCGACGCAAAGTACAAGTGTTAGAAAAGATAGAGGAAAGGAGGAAGGATAGAGGATGTGGGAAGGAAGGAGCGAGGAGGACCCAGCGTTGGTGTAGAGTGTTGCGTTCTCTTTGAGGGAGAGCCGAGGCAGGAAGATGCGATCGGATTCACGCGCCCTTGAGCCGACGAAGCAGCGCTTGGACCGAGATGAGGATGGCACAGACCAAAGCCGGCCAAAATCATAGACGCGGGGCAGCAAGAGGCCGGCAGCCAGCCTATCAAAATTGCACAGCAGACCGCCAGCCAGCGCAACCTCTCTCAAGAAGAAAGAGAGCAGGAAGATCTCGGATCGGCTTTTGGGGACTTACCGGAAATCAGATTTCTGCTTGCTTCTCTGCCTCCTGACTCTCTCTCTTTGCAGTCGGGCGAGCCCCGCATCTCAACAGGTCGTTGTTGAGGCGTGCGGCTCCTGTTTTGGTTCAGACATGGCCCTCTCCCTCATGATCCACTTTGCGAGCAACAGCTTCCAGCTTGCGGTCCTCTCCGTGGTCTCTCTTTATCTCTGCAGACTCTTCACCGCCTTGGACCAGTTCCTTCATGATGCTCGTGATGGCCCTGACAAGGTCGTCGACGCTCGTATCAGGGCATAGGAAGAAGAAGTCGAGAGATGCGCCTAATTAAAGCAGACCTATGCGGCTCAGAGAGCGCTCGCGATCTCCGTCAAGCAGGAGGCACCGGTGAAATCACAGACCCAAAGGGAAACCGGACCCTATCGGACGATGCCTCTGCTGCCTACAGGCGAGCGACGTGATCCGGCAAAGTGGATTTCGAGGGTCTTGAGAGAGCAAGCACCAGGGCTTGGCGTGAAAGAGGTGGCATCGAGAAAAGTGTGCATTGTGCAGGCCTGTTAGGTCGAGCGATGGTGCTATCGTCCCGATCAGGAACCAATGCCAAGATTCAATCTCGCGATCTTCGCCGGGATTGGCGATGCCAAGGGTCTCTGGCCTTGAGCATCGGAGCTCAGACTTGCCAGGTGCAGCTGACTCACGAACAAGCCACTCGCGACTCTCGCTGAAGCTGTTATGGCGCATGTCGCAACGAGGCGTTTGCTCATGAAGCCGGCACATCTGTCCAAGTCACCACAGACAGCAACCGAGTGACTGAGGCCGGCGTCAGCATGCTTTCTCACAGTGTCAGCAAGAGCGAAGAGGGGTGAAAACGCTGCTGGAGTTTCGCTCTAGGTTGGATCACGTCAAGGTGTACCTGACCGTCCGGCTCGCATTGCAAGCTGAGACTGTGGTTAGAGTGCTGCTGGCTTGACTGATACAACATCACCTCTCAATGCCGTATCGGCGTGCAACGAATGTCAAAAGCATGACAGCTCAGGGAAGGTAACGGCGACCATTTCCGTGGGATGGTGGGACGGCTCGTGGAAGCGAAAAA